TAAAGGCGCTGTAAATCATGCATGAACACACAGAAGACTATCACAAGAGAAAAATTTATCTATTGAACTATATATAATGCTCATGGTGTTAAAAATAAATCTATCGATGTAGAGCTACATCGACGATTTGTATACCTTAGTTCTTGCCTGCGGGCGTCCAGGACGTGCATGCTTGCGGAACAAAAATACATATTTGACAGAGATTTTTGATAAACGGTTGTGCGCCGTTAGATAGGGTTTTCTGGGAAATCTTTTGAGGGCTAACTGAGGTTAACTGAGTGGATAAGGTGACGGCTAGGGGGGTCACCACATGTAGATAAGAATCCAAGGGATCTGGAAACCTTCGGGAAGCTAACCAGGAAAGAAAAACTGGGCAGCACAGAGCGAAAAAGCTCCAATGCATTCATGTCCAAACATTTGAACGACCATTACAGTAGAAAACTGTTGGCGAACAACACAAAAAAGCTCTTATGATTTTCGTGATATGATCTACTAAGATTTCGGCTTGAAATTTGGTGTCGATTTCACCTAACTAAGATTTCCATGCGAATTATCTTAGCAGCTTTATCATGGTGACCAATCATAACGCGATCTGCCATTCAAAGGAGACGACCTGTCTGATCTGATTAGGACACGTTTAGCGCGTGCTGTGAGAGTAACTTTCAATGCCGCCAGGTTGTCATGCGTATGCACTGGCTCACCAATAATAAGAATACCCAATAAAGACATTCTACCAATGCTAGCCTCATCTATGGCTATATATTCCTTCAGCTGCGTTTGTAACGCAACCTACATTGGCCGAACGGCGAGGCAGCTGTCTCAGCGGATTAAAGAGCAATGCCCACGCTTCAATACGGTGGAAACGGTATCACAGAAAGCGCTATCCTCGTTCACCTAACAGACTCACGTCACTAAGTTAAGCCTGAATCAGCCTTCAAAGTTATCTATCGAGTACCACCTCACCCATCCAAGTCGCTGCGTCTCCACACCCTAGCAGCTGCGGGAGCGATCGGCATTCGTTTATTCAAACCCAATCTATGCGCGCAGAATAGATTGGCCCATGCTATTCAACTACCGTGATCGAAGATCGATAGCACGGATGATGAATCACAGTTTGATTGCAGTGTTGTGGTGATCATCTAGGGGCGTGAAACACATCGCATCACCCTTCCCCCACCCTCACCCCATTTCTCTCCCTTTCAATCAATCACCGTGACTTTTTAATGACTGAATAACTATTGCCGTTTAAAATGCCATTTTCCTATTTGATCTGTACAGGCCAGGAGATGAATCAATGAAAAGAATTCTCTGCCTCTAAACTCGTGTTCGCAAATAAAAATTCAGTCTAGCCAGATAACTGTGTGACTGCGAAGTTGACGTTTCGACTCCTGTTTCAAGTCTTGGTGCGGACACAGAGAAGTAGTGCTGCAAGTGCAACTCGGATTTTGTAAGATGCCCAAGGAGCATTTGATCTGGATCCGCTTGGCCTAAATGGATCACGATTCACTTGACAGACTTAAAAAAAATCAGATTACTTGGAACTACTTGTTCTCCAAAAAACCGAATTTGTCATACAGTGTAAACTCCATCCCAGAATACTTCTCTCTAATAAGGCATTTACCATGTTATGAATAAAAAGGAACTTAGGATGAGAAGTGAAATAGAATCAACATCCGGTACCCAAAATCGATTAACTCGACCGCAAAAAATTGTATCCTTGGTATCAATTTGGAGTCACAGTGCATTCATGCACTCATTCACCTACGGGAACCATTCCAACCGTAACAATACAAATTGAAGAGATTTCTTTTGATGAGATTTGTTCAATTCTGGTCGTTAATCAAGCCGATTAGTTATCAATCCTAAGAAGCTAAGGATTGTGTAACAATGAACGCATTGAAATACTTTGTGTTCTCAACATTACTAGACTAATGGAGATAACTTGATGATGATCTAGCAGGGTGTGGAAAAATACAGTTTAGCTAGAGTAGAACCGGCTCGGCTGCTACTGAGACGTGACGATGACTGCAAAAGGTTATATAGATGAAAGTGGTCTTCATTGATCAAACACGCGTCCGCTAAGGCATAGGATAAAAACAGCTCATGACAGAGTGAAAATATGAGAACCAATACGTCACCTGTTGGTCGATCATTGCTGAGTCCTGATCCACAACCGTCCCTCTTCCCCCGAGTTGCAACTTGACACATGAGATAAACTAAATAAATCTCCGATTTGTACGCTTACGTATCAGGCAATCCATGGAGTGTGTAAACTGTGCGAACAAATGTGATCCAATATGAGGAACACCGTACAAGAGGTTGCATGATCAATCTTTGACGATTGGATCGGATTGGCTAATGAAAAACCATTGTAGTGTCCTCAAGTAGTAGAATGACTAAATGAAAATGTTAAGACTTTACCGAAAAGCACGGTTATATTTAGATAAGATATGTAGACACACTTTGACCCCTTCGAAACTAATGCAACTGACCTTTTCTGAATTAAAGATGTTCCAGCATTGACCAAAGTAATGATAATAGCAGTTTATGGTGTCTCGATATTAACTTCGGTGTTTCGTCATACTGGAGATACTATCGCCGATTTCTTAACGATCTCTTAACGGAGGCAGTGTGATAGTGATTTAAATACAAAGCTCTTCAGTACTCTTCTATTCGGCAAGCGAATACATCTACCCGCATTTTCGTCACGATAACCTTAGGAAATCTCGTCCAGTCATTCATATCCCACTTGTTATGACACTTATCTATACTAATAGATAAACAATATTTCTTGAGCGATAAAAGATTTGTGATGATAGACACAGAGCACTGGACACAGCTGTTTCGTCCTGTTTATGGGACTTATCAGCAGTACATACGTTTTGCATCCCTGTAAAGATTTGAGCCGTAAACATTCGGGTCGGGACATCAAATTCAAATT